TTTCAACCGAAGGAACTTCGGTGGCCGGACCAGGTGTAGTTGTGATTTTGGTCTCACCCGAGGGTGTTGTTGCGGCTCCTGGTGGTGTTGCAGTTCCTTCAGTGGTAACACCGACACCAGGAATCGTAGTGTATCCTACTGTGGTTTCAGCCGAAGGAACTCCGGTGCGCGGACCAGGTGTAGTTGTGATTATGGCCTCACCCGAAGTTGTTGTCGCAGCTACTGGTGGTGTTGTGGCGCTTTCAGTGGTAGTTCTTACACCAGGAATCGTAGTGTATCCTACTGTTGTTTCAGCCGAACGAAACTCGGGGGCCGGAGTAGGTGTAGTTGTGATTCGGGTCTCTCCTGAAGGAGTTGTCGCAGTTCCTGGTGAAGTTGTGGCGCCTTCTGTGGTCATTCTGATACTTGTAATCGTAGTGTAGCCTACCGTTGTTTCAACCAAAGGAACTTCGGTGACCGGACGAGGTGTATTTGTGGTTCTGGCCTCACTCGAAGGTGTTGTCGCAGCTCCTGGTGGTGTCGTAGCGCCTTCAGTGGTACTTCTGACATCAGGAATCGTAGTGTATCCTACTGTTTTTTCAACCGAAGGGACATCGATGGCCGGACCAGGTATAGTTGTAGTTGTGGCCTCACCCGAAGGTGTTTTCGCAGCTACTGGTGGTGTTTTGGCACCTTCAGTGATAGTTCTGACACCAGGAATCGTTGTGTATTCCACTATTGTTTCAGCCGAAGGAACTCCGGTGGCCGTACCAGGTGTAGTTGTCATTCTGGTCTCACCTGAAGGTGTTGTCGCAGCTACTGGTGATGTTGTAGTGCCTTCAGTGGTCGTTATGGCACCAGGAAGTGTAATGTATCCTACTGTTGTTTCAGACGAAGGAACTCCGGTGGCTGTACCAGATATACTTGTGATTATGGCTTCACCCGAAAGTGTTGTGGCAGCTACTGATGGTGTTGTAGCGCCTTCAGTGGTAGTTCTGACACCAGGAATCGTAGTGTGTCCTACTGTTGTTTCAGCCGAAGGAACTCCGATGGCCGGACCAGGTGTAGTTGTGATTCTGGTCTCACCTGAAGGTGTTGTCGCAGATACTGGTGGTGTTGTAGCGCCCTCAGTGGTCATTCTGACACCAGGAATCGTAATGTATCCTACTGTTGTTTCAACTGAAGGAGCTTCGGTGGTCGGATCAGGTGTAGTTGTGATTCTGGCCTCAACTGAAGGTGTTGTTGCGGCTCCTGATGGTGTTGTAGCTTCTTTAGTGGTGATTCTGACACCAGGAATCATAGTGTATCCTACCGTTGTTTCCACTGGAGGAGCTTCGGTGGTCGGACCAGGTGTAGTTGTGATTCTGGCCTCAAATGAAGGTGGTGTTGCGGCTCCTGATGGTGTTGTAGCTCCTTCATTGGTGATTCTGACATCAGAAATCGTAGGCGGTCCTACTGTTGTTTCAACCGGAAAAACTTCGGTGGCCGGACCAGGTGGAGTTGTGAATTTGGCTTCACCTGCAGGTGTTGTCGCAGCTCCTGGTGGTGTTGTGACGCCTTCAGTGGTCATTCTGATACTTGGAATCGTAGTATATCCTACTGTTGTTTCAACCGGAGGAACTTCGGTGGCCTGACTAGGCTTAGTTGTGATTTTGGCTTCACCTGAAGGTGTTGTTGCGGCTCCTGGTTTGGGTGTGGCTTCTTCTGTTATGCTCATGACACCTGGAATCCTAGTGTAGCCTACTGTTGTTTCAACCGAAGGAACTTCGTTGGCTGCACCAGGTGTAGTTGTGGTTCTGGCCCCACCAAAAGGAGTTGTTGCAGCTCCTGATGGTGTTGTGGGGCCTTGAGTGGTCGTTTTGAGACCAAGAATCGTAGTGTATGCCACTGTGGTTTCAACCGAATGAACATCTGTGGCAGGACCAGGTGTAGTTGTGATTCTCTCTTCACCTGAAGGTGTTGTTGCGGCTCCTGGTGGCGTTGTTGCTCCTGCAGTGGTCAATCTGACACTTGAGATCGTAGTGTATCGTACCGTTGTTTCAACCGAAGGAACTTCGGTGGTCGGAGCCTGTGTAGTTTTTAATTGGGCATCACCTGAAGGTGTTGATGCAACTGCTGGCGGTGTTGTAGCTCCTTCAATGGTGATTCTGATACCAGGAATCGTGGTGTAGCCTACTGTAGTCTCAACCGACGGAGCTTGTGCGGCCGGACCAGGCGTAGCTGTGATTCTGGCTTCAGATGAAAGTGTTGTTGCGGCTCCTGTTGGTGTTATGGCTCCTTCAGTGGTGATTCTGAGACCATGGATCCGAGTGTATCCTACTGTTGTTTCAACCGAAGGAATATCGGTGGCCGGTCCAGGTGTAGTTGTGAATAGGGCATCACCTGAAGGTGTTGTTGCAACTGCTGGTGGTGTTGTGGCGCCTTCAGTAGTAATTCTGACACCAGGAATC